CCCGATACCAGTATCGGTATCGGTGCATCCCTATCCCGTAGTAATATATGTTTATGAAGGCCACAGTGAAAATCATTAAGGCTTTCCCACAGCGGGAAACATTCCCCTGTCCTGTTAATGGCATCGTACTCAAAATGAGCACAAGTCCTTCATAATAACATGGACCACTATATTCTGTATGTAGCAGGTCTCTACTGTGAGAACCCCAACCACCTTTTAGCACGACCAGCATTCGTCCATTCACACACATATTCATACAGCGTGTTAGTCTATACCTTTAAGCAGTTTCTCTCACATGCACACTCACACTAATGGATGCATCCAGGGAAATTTGGGGGTTAAATATTTTGAGCAAGGTGACTTTAACATGAAGCCTGAAGGCACCAGGGATTGAACCAACAACGTGCTGACCACTGGTTCAATTCCTGGTGCCAGTGATACTTTCAAAGCCATAATGGACCCTGTGAAGTCCTTCTACATGTGATTAAATGATACATTTAAGGCTTAATGTTTCACATCTGTGACTCAAAACAGACACGAGCCTTATTTAAGGTGGCCCTCTGTGTTATTTATAATTGCGCTATAAGGCATGCTACTGATGCAACATTAATTCAGGAAACAACTTTCTTGCCTCTTTGTACTTCTGAAAGTTCCTCTGAACACTTATGCAAGATGCTGTAAGGTAGCTTTTCTTTTATCCTTTATCCCACCCACTCTACCCAACCACTCCAACCAGTTCCTCACCTTGAACGTGCCTCCAAGTCTGTGAGCGAGCCCTCTTTGACAAAGTGAGTGACATCAGCGATGTGAACTCCCAGCTCCAGCCTTCTGTTGGGGAGCTTGCGTATAGACAGCGTGTCGTCTACATCTTCACAGCCGCGTGGATCAATGCTGAACACCAGGTGACTGTCCCTAAGATCCCGCCGCTCCGCCACCTCAGAGGCGTCTACCGTCCACGGCTTCTCCAGAGAGTTGACCGGCATCTCTCTCAGCTGATGGCAGACGGACAGGCACAGCTAAACAGCCGCATAGTCTTTTGAACTTTTCACATTTTGTCACATTTTGTTATAATTCTATACAAAACATTAATAATATTAATAATAATAATAATACGTTTTATTTGAAAGCGCCTTTCAAAACACTCAAGGACACTTTACACAAAGACAAAGCAAAACAGTGTTTTACTTTCAGTTGCTTCCTTGTCACAAGGGGTCACCACACCTGATAGCTCAGCATCTTTTGATATGGCAGAGTTTTATACCAGATGCTCTTCCAGGCAGAACCCTGATTTGTATCTCCGGCTGCAATCGAACCAGAGACATTTTGCCTGCCAAGCCAGTGTGTAAACCACTGATGAAAAAAGGAAAGAATGAACTATTCCACATATTTAATGATTCCTTAATATTTTGTTGATTTGAGCAATATTTTCATCTTTAAAACCTTTGGTTACTATGGTAACTCTCTGATAACCAAGCAACCAAGCACTCTCTGATGTGACCAATCACAGAAGCTCTACTGCCACCCCCTTTATAACATAAACAATTATGAATGATGTTACAGTCTATGATAGTGGACTCATCTGTGCTTGTCCTTTGTTACAGCCCATTGCAACTAGGGATGGGTATCGTTTAGGTTTTATCCGATACCGGTGCCA